CAAGCAGAGATTTTTATCATTATTATTTTTGGGAAGCACATATGGGTTACATATACTTTGTATCACGTGCAGGAAAGGGTGATAACATGATAATGGCCATAATCCTGTAGGTGGGGTTTCCCTGGTTAAAAATGAAAGGTGGCCTTACTGACACTGTGATGCTACAGCAAGGCAAGCCTGAGCAGTCAGGGCGTCAGAGATTACAGGGCTGTGCAGAGCGAAGGCAGTATAGACAGAGTCTGCTGCAAAATCTAAATCATTCCTGATCCAAGTTTCAGTTTGGTGTGACCTCCTGATTGTTGTCAGCTCAATCCTAAGGGCTGATGAAGAACTGCAGGGTCCTGTGGCCAGCAACTCAATCCCACATTCACACAGTCAGTTGGCACTCATTTTGTTCCTTAGCTTTTTGAGACCTTACCTCCCTCAAAGACAACTTTATCTTGCACTGGCTGAGAAAAGGAACAGGGGACTGGGTAAACAATGGGAACTTATACCAATCTCATTATCTTTACAGTATCATAACCATGAGGGGAGTTTTAAAAACTTACTTACTTATTTATTATTTGAAAGGCAGAGAGTCAAGAGAAAGGCAGAGACAGAGAGATCTTCCATCTATTGGTTCATGCCTCCAAATACCTGCAACAGCTAAGGCTGGGCCAGGTCAAGGCCGGAAGCCAGGAACTCAATCCAGGTGTCCCATGATGGTGGCAGGGACCCAATTATGTGAGCCATCACCTGTTGCCTCCCAGGGTGTGCAACGGCAGGGAGCCAGAATCAGGAGCAGAGTCAGGACCCAACCCAGGCACTTGATAAAGGATGTGGGAGTCCCAAGGTGGTGTTTTAACTGCTGTGCCAAATGGCTGCCCCTGTGAGTGGTATTTTCAATCTTTCAATTAACTCCTCTGAAATGGTCCTCACAGTTTTTACAACACAATGCGTTTTCCAAAGTGGTTGTTCTAACTGATATTTCTGCTACTAGAATATAAGAGGTTCTCACCAACACCTGCCACTGTCAGAGTACTCAATTATCTGCCAATCTGCTACTTAGCATACAGTGTTAATACTTGTGCTTTTAAAATTTTTCTCATTGTGGATTTAATTCGCAAAACCCTGATTACTAATAAGATTGGGAATCCTTCCACGTGTTTACTGCCCTGAATACAGGATCTTTAAAATTTAAAAATAAATTCTGGCACTCCAGATTTTGCATTTTTGTACTAAGCATACTGAACACTTCATGGCATGCTGGTCAGTACAGGGGAAATAATAGACACTAATTACTGAACATCTATTTGGTGCTGGGCACCTCATTTATTTTGTCTTATTTAAGCCTCATAATAACTTTATCAGGTTGGTGTTTTGTTTTTGTTGTTGTTGTTGTTGTTGTTTTGTTTTTGTTTTTTTTAAGATTTATTTGAAAGACAGAGTTACAGACAGAGGTAGAGACAGAGAAAGAGGTCTTCCAACCACAGGTTCACTCACCAGATGCCCGCAATGGCTGGAGCTGTGCCAATCCAAAGCCAGAAGCCAGGAGCTTCTTCTTGGTCTCCCACATGGGTGCAGAGCCCCAAGGACTTGGGCCATCTCCAACTGCTTTCCCAGGCCACAGCAGAGAGCTGGGTTGGAAATGGAGCAGCCGACACTAGAACTGGCACACATGTGGGACACCAGCACTTTAGGCCAAGGCTTTAACCCACTGTGCCGCAGCGCCGGCCCCTAGCTGGTGCTTTTATCTGTATTTTGAAAGTAAGGAGGGGCCGGCGCTGTGGTGCAGCAGCTTAAAGCCCTGGCCTGAAGTGCCGGCATCCCACATGGGCACCGGTTCTAGTCCCGGCTCCTCCTCTTCCAATCCAGGTCTCTGCTATGGCCTGAGAAAGCTGTAGAATATGGCCCAAGTCCTTGGGCCCCTGCACCTGCATGGAAAGGCCAGGAGGAGGCTCCTGGCTTCTGGTTCCTGGGTTCAGTTGGGCACAGCTCCGGCCATTGCAGCCACCTGGGGAGTGAACCAGCAGATGGAAGACTTCTCTTTCTGCCTCTCCTTCTCTCTCTATGTAACTCTGACTTTCAAATAAAATAAAATCTTTTTTTTTTAAACAAGTTTACCCAAAAGCTGATATTGCTTTTCAGAGTGTAAGTGTCAGAACTGAAACCCAAACCACGCCTGTGTGATTCCAAGGTCTGAACTCATGCAAGTCATCATGGTTCTTCCCAAGAAATAACATCTAGGGGCGAGCACTGTGGCATAGTGGGTAAAACCACCTCCTGTGATGCTGACATCCCATATGGGCACTGGTTCAAGACCTGGCTTCTCCACTTCTGATCCAGCTCCCTGCTAATATGCCTGAGAAAGCAGCAGAAAATAGCCCAAGTACCTGGGCCCTTGCCACCAACTTGGGAGACCTAGAAGAAACTTCTGGCTTCTGGCTTCTAATAGGCCCAACTCTGGTCATTGTGGCCATTTTGGGAGTGAACCAACAGAAGGAAGATCTCTCTCTCTCTCTCTCTCTCTCTCTCTTTCTCTCCCCATAATTCTGCCTTTCAAATACACAAATGAAGCTTTTTTAAGAAAAAAAGAAGTAATGTCTACAGGATCAAAGTAATACTCAATATCCTTTGGCAAAGTCATTGTACTATAAACATTATCAAAAGGATTTCACAGGTAGCCCAGTTAAAATAATTAATTAAAAGGGAGAGAATGATCCAACGTGGGAAGTGAGATACACAGCAGACCCATAGAATGGCAGATGTCCGAAACAGCACTCTGGCCTCATAATCAGCCCTTAAGGCATGTGGATCCGGCTGAAATGCCCATGAGAGTATTTCAGGCATGGAAAGCCAAGACACTCTGGGGGAAAAAAAAAAGACCTAAATGAAAGATCTCTGTGAGTGAGATCCCAGTGGAAAGAACGGGTCATCAAAGAAGGAGGTACCTTCTCTGAAGGGAGGAGAGAACTTCCACTTTGACCATGGCCTTGTCTAAATAAGATCAGAGTCGGTGAACTCAGGGGGCTTCCAGAGCCTTGGCAGCTCATGACAAGAGCCTAGGGTGATTACTGATGCCATAAACAAGACTGTCAATTTGTTAAGTCAACAACAGGAGTCACTATGCACTTACTCCTCATGTAGGGTCTTTGTCCCTAGTGTGCTGTACATTGAGATTTAATGCTATAACTAGTACTCAAACAGTATTTTTCACCTTATGTTTCTGTGTGGGAGCAAACTGTTGAAATCTTTACTTAATGTACGCTAAACTGATCTTCTGTATATAAAGAGAATCGAAAATGAATCTTGATGTGAATGGAAGGGGAGAGGGAGTGGGAAAGGGGAGGGTTGCGGGTGGGAGGGACGTTATGGGGGGAAGCCATTGTAATCCATAAGCTGTACTTTGGAAATTTATATTCATTAAATAAAAGTTAAAAAAAAAAACAGGGTTTCAAATTCAGCTTGTGACATGAAATGGTCTAAAAGAAGAAAAATAAATTTATTGAAGTTAAAAATAAAAAAAAAATAACTAATTAAATAACTACATCCCTGGGTCTGTTTTTCCTGTAACACTCCAAAATTTAATTCATTAATATTTAAAAACAACCAAGGGTCTTTGATATTTGGTAGTCTTTCCCTTATGAGAGTCATCAGTAAGCCACATGTTTCATTTTTGACCAGTAACAGGTACGTGTGAAATGATTAATACCATACTACAGAATTTCAGAATAGTAAATGACAACTTAAAGTAAAAGTTACAAAAGATGAGAGTGAAGCAAACTATTCTCAAAGAGACTTAGTTTTATATAGGCAATCAATTAGGAGACAACAAAGCAATGGACATTTAAAAAATTAATTTAAAACCAATTAAAGGATAAACATTAAGCAAGACTCCTAGGAATTTATATGCCATAATGTTACTTTTTTTTTTTTTCAGCTATAAAGGTCTAATAAAAAGCTTGTAAATCCTGCAGCTACAGAAACAATGTTCAAAGAATCAAATGAACCAGAAACCATGACTCAGGTAGGATGTAGCCTGCAAAAGAGGACAGACTACCTCAGCTTTCAACATCCCTCCCAGGATGCTAAGAATAACTCCAGAACAGGAGGAGGGCCACATGCATGACTCTCCCCTCTCAAGTCTTCACAAAATGACCTCTCCAGGGGATCCAGAATCCTCTCAAGAGAGGTAGACCCACTGCTGGGCTGTAGCTTTGTCACCAACAAGGCTTGGACTCTGCATCTACGAATATTAACCTCACATTCATCCCACTCCACAAAAATGAATAGTGAAAACAATTTTATTAACCCCTTTTGCACACCTCCTACATTTTGTGAAGTACATTATTATTTTTTTTTTTTTATTTCATGAGACAAATACTTGCTAGCCAAAGTGCTGGCACTGTGTGCACTTTCAAATTATCAATATACCTCCCTTCGCTCCTGTACTACCAACTGGCTACAAAGATTTAAAGGTTCAGTGATTATAGGTTTTAAATTATTTTAACCCCTTTAAATTTGAAAACTCTTTAAATCCCATTATCTCTGCAGCCACTGCGAATTTTAAAATCAGCTTGGCCTTTTCTAGCTGCAGGTCTCAGGATTACAGAGCTTTAAAGAGTACAAATGCTTTTCTGAAGTTCTATAAAGAGCTGTCCCCAACCAGTTGACCTACAGGAAATAAAGCCGGCCAGTTCTCCAGCTGGTCACTGCTGATCAGAGTTTCTGTATGGAGGGATATAAATGGTATGCCACAAACCACCAGGAAAACAGGTAATTGCTTCCCTGACACCATATGAAGCCAGTTTATCAGAAGATTTGCTGTAGGAGGGGCAGCACATTTTAGACACATGTCAGTAAGTATCTAAAAAATGAGAAAACAGAGGATGTTGTCAGGGACCCATAGAAGCTGTCTAGGACAGACAGTAAATTCAGTGGATTGGAAGCCATCTTGCTCCTAAAGAAAAGCCGTTACCCTGGATACCCTCTGAATCCTGGGTAACCCTCTGAGCTCTTACCTCTTGTGTTCTCACATTCACATATCCATAATGAGTTCGAAGGGGCCGCCTGTACGTGTAGGAGAATGGTATCCATTTTGCACCAGGTTGTCCAAAGCAGTTTAGTAGCAAGGGGAAATTCACTTCATTCACAAGACGCACGATCAGCAGGAAAAGAAATGCTGCTATGAAGCTCACTGCAATCACAGACTTTCTCTACAAAACAATAAAAAAAAAAAGAATGAATGATTTGCAACCAAGAGCAGTCACAGGGATCCCTTTATTCCTCTTTTTCTTTCATAAGGCTCAAAGGATTCTATCATTTAGGTAATTTCACTTGGAGACAAAACAATAATCATGTGGTTATTTGGGACTCTGCAAGCATGCAGAACAACTTATTAGACTTTAACTTTCCAATTCTACACTTCCTTACATCCCTGGCTTCCTGGCAAACTCCTATTCAGTTTGTAAAGCCCAAACCAGGGAATGCTAACTACTGAAAGTCTTAGTTGCTCAATCCTCTCCCCACCGCATGTTTATCCCCAACCCACCCACACTAAGAGAGACACGAAGTCTTGTCACTCCAACATTTTACTTTGTAGACATATCTACTGTAATTTTTTCACTGTGTAATTATCTATGTGATTCTTTTTCCATGTAACTATGAGTTCTAGAGAAATTTGGAAGTATGTGTCATATTGATCTCTGTACTCCAGGTCCTTAATATAGTATCTTACATAAACTGCAGGCACTCATCAAAATTAGGAATAAAATGATTGAATGCATAAAAGAATGATTTTTTCACATCCTTGTCAATACAGTCTCATTATAACTCATTCTTCTGTTTCTGTACCTAGCACCCTCTATGGGCTGGGAAATCTGTGTTACACAATGTGGAACAAAAAGTACAAAAAAGCCAATAAAAAGAGGAAGGAAAATTTCAAGCACAGAAGCATAATAACATTCTCCTAAAAGTCTTGTGATGGATAAAAGCAGGAACAACTACATTTATTTGGGGTGGGAGAAAGCAGAAATATATGTAAGATTAAGTTTGACAAAATACATGAGTCTTAGGACAAGTTTTGTGCTTCAGTAGGTTAAGTCGCTGCTTGAGAAACCTGGATTCCATATCAGATGGTCAGTTCACATCCTGGCTACTCTACTCTGGATCAAGTTTCCTGCTTACGCACCTTGACAGGCAATGGATGATAGTCCAAGTCCTCTGATCCCTGCCACCCATGTAGGATACTTGGATAGAGCTCCAGCTCCTGGCTAAGGCCTGGCCCAGCCCTCGTTGTTTCAGACACTTGGAGAGTAAAATAACAGATAGAAGATCTCTATTTCTATTTCTGTCTCTGTCTCCATCTCTTTCTCTCTCATTCTGCCTTTCAAGTAAATGATAATAAATATACTTTAAAATAGGCATGAGTCTTCATTGATAGTGATATGTAAGCAGCAGAGCTTTCTAGGTAGAGGGCACAGAGCAGGTGACAAGAATACACAAAAGATCAACAAAACAGAAAAATCCTTTTTGAAAAGATAAAATAGACAAATTTTTAGCCAAAGAACAAAGAAAAAATTCAAATAAATAAACTTAGAGATGAAAAAGGAGACATTACAACTGATACCCCAGGAATACTAACCATCATAAGAAACTGATATGAACAACCACATGCTAACAAACAGGAAAACCTCAAAGAAATGGATAAATCCCTAGATACATGTAACATGCAAAGATTAAATCAAGAACATATGGGAACTATAAACAGACCTATAATAAATAATAAGATTGAAGCAGTAATTAAAAATCTCTCATCTGGGACAGCACTGTGGCATAGTGGGTAAAGCCACCGCCTGCAGTACCGGAATCCCATATGGATGCTGCTGTGAGTCCCGGTTACTCTACTTCCAATCCAGCTCTTGTTTATGGCCTGGGAAAGCAGTGGAAGATGGCCCAAGTTCTTGGGCCCTTGCACCTTCATGGGAGACTTGGAAGAAGCTCCTGGCTCCTGCTTTCTGAGCTGCGCAGCTCAGCCATTGCAACCAACTGGGCAGTGAACCATCAGACAGAAGACTTTCACTCTCTCTCTCACTCACTCACTCGCTCACTCACTCTCGCTCTGTCTCTGCCTCTCTGTAACTCTGCCATTCAAATAAATAAATAAATCTTTTTTTTAAAGTTCCCCATCAAAAAAAGCTAAGGACCTGATGGCTTTACAGCTTAATTCTATAAAACATTTAAAAAAGGACTAATTACACGGCCACTGTTGTGACGTAGTGGGTTAAGCCCTTGTCCATGGTGCCAGCCAGCATCCCATATGGGCTGCAGTTCTTGTATTGGATGTCCCACTTCCAATCCAGCTCCCTGCTAATGGCCTGGGAAAGCAGCAAACAATGGCCAAGTACCTGGGCCCCTTCTACCCCTGTGAGAGACCTGGAAGAAGCTCCTTGCTCCTGGCTTTGGCCTAGCCCAGACCTGGCTGCTGTGGCCAACTAAGGAGTGAACCAGTGTAGGGAAGATTCATTCTCATTCTCATTCTCTCTCTCTCTTTCTCTCTCTCTCTTTCTCTCTCTCTCTCTTCTCTTCTCTCTATAACTTTTTTAAATAAATATTTTTTAAAAGGGAACTAATCCCAATACCCTTCAAACTATTCCAAAATACTGAAATAAAGACCTTCCAAAACAGAAACTGAAAAAATTTGTCACCACTTGTTCAGAATGCAAATGATGCTTAACCATGTGCTACACACAGAAACACAGAAACATGTTTATCACTATAAAAGAAGGTGAAAGCAGAAAATCTCCCAGTAAAAGTACAAAGGAAATCCAAAGTAAACAATAGCATTATTTATGGGAAAATGGCAGAGCCAAGTCATAACCTATCAATAGACACCTTGAATGTAAACGGCCTCAACTCTCAAGTTAAAAGATAGACTGACAGAATGGATTAAAAATCTATTTGCTGCCTACAATAAACACATCTCATCAATAAAGATACATGCAGACTGAAAGTGAAAAGATGGAAAAAGATATTCCCTGCTATCAGAAACACAAAAGAGCTGTTGTAGCCTAATATAAGACAAAATAAAATTTAATACAAAAACTATTTTAAAAGACAAAGAAGCACACTATGTGATGATTAAGGGGTTAATTCAATAGGAAAATATGACTATAATAAATGTACACACACCTAAAAACAGGTCATCTGGTTATTTAAAAGGAATATTAGTGGATCTAAAGGGATAAACTCCAATACAGTAATGAGGAACTTCAATACTCGACATTCAGCAATCCACAGATCAATCAGACAGAAAATCAGCAAGGAAACAAAACAGTTAATAGACACTATAGATCAAATGCACCTAACTGACATTGACAGAACTTTTCATCCTATTGTTTCAGAATACATATTGTTCTCACCAGTGCATGGAACTTTCTTTAGGATAGTCCACAGGACAGGCCATAAGGCAAGTCTCAGCAAATTCCAAAAAATCAAATTCATACCATGCATCTTGTATGAACACAATGGAATGGAGGTAGAAATCAACAAGTCAAGAAACTCTCTAGAACATATGGAAAAACATGGAGACTGAACAATATGCTCCTGAATGAACAGTGGGTCATAGCAGAAACCAAAAGAGAAATAAAAAAACTTCTGGAAACAAATGAATACAACAATACAACATATCAAAATTTATGGGATACGGCAAAGGCAGTCTTAAGAGGAAAGCATAGAGCAACTGGTACGTACATCAAGAAACTGGAAAGGCACCAAATAAATGAGCTATCAGTGCATCTCAAAGAGCTAAACAACTGCCCCGTAGTATGTCCTGAAATCTGGTATTGTGATGCCTCCGGCTTTGTTTTTGTTGTACAAGATTGCTGTAGCTATTCAAGGTCTCCTGTACCTCCATATGAATTTCAGCATCATTTTTTTTCCAGATCTGAGAAGAATGCCTTCGGTATTTTGTTTGGTATTGCATTGAATCTGTAAATTGCTTTTGGGAGAATGGACATTTTGATGATATTGATTCTTCCAATCCATGAGCATGGAAGATTTTTCCATTTTTTGGTATCCTCTTCTATTTCTTTCTTTAAGGTTTTGTAATTTTCATCGTAGAGATCTTTAACATCCTTGGTTAAGTTTATTCCAACGTATTTGATTGTTTTTGTAGCTATTGTGAATGGGATTGATCTTAGAAGTTCTTCCTCAGCCGTGGCATTGCCTGTGTATACAAAGGCTGTTGATTTTTGTGCATTTATATCCTGCTACTTTGCCAAACTCTTCTATGAGTTCCAATAGTCTCTTAGTAGAGTTCTTTGGATGCCCAAAATAAAGAATCATATCATCTGCAAAGAGGGATAGTTTTGAGTTCTTCCTTCCCAATTTGTATCCCTTTAATTTCTTTTTCTTGCCTAATAGCTCTGGCTAAAACTTCCAGAACTATATTGAATAGCAGTGGTGAGAGTGGGCATCCCTGTCTGGAAATGCCCATCAACAGTAGACTGGATAAAGAAATTATGGGACATGTACTCTATAGAATACTATACAGCAATCAAAAACAATGAAATCCAGTCATTTGCAACAAGATGGAGGAATCCGGAAAACATTATGCTGAGTGAATTAAGCCAGTCCCAAAGGGACAAATATCATATGTTCTCCCTGATCGGCAACAACTAACTGAGCACCAAGGGGGAAACCTGTTGAAGTGAAATGGAAACTATAAGAAACAGTGACTTGATCAGCTCTTGTCCTGACTGTTGATGTACAATGTAATACTTTATCCATTTTAGTATTTTTTTTGTTCTAGAACTATTGGTTGAACTCTGTGATTAACACACACTTATTCTTAGATATTTAAATTTTAACTGAAAAGTGATCCCTGTTAAATATAACAGTGGGAATAAGAAAGGGAGGAGATGTAAAATTTGGGACATGCTCAATCAGACTTGCCCCAAATGGTGGAGTTAGAAATGTGCCAGGGGATTCCAATACAATCCCATCAAGGTGGCATGTACCAGTGCCATCTCACTAGTCCAGGTGATCAATTTCAGTTCACAATTGATCACACTTATAAGTTTAAGAGTCAAAGGGATCACACAAACAAGACTAGTGTCTGCTAATACTAACTGATAGAATCAAAAAGGGCGAGAACGATCCATCATGGGAAGTGGGATACACAGCAGACTCATAGAATGGCAGATGTCCTAAACAGCACTCTGGCCTCAGATATCATCGG